TAACGTTGAATAACGAGGGAAAGAAGTATGAGATGACACTCGAGGAATGGTTCACTTTTTTGCATTTGCGACCAAACCATCCGTCTTCGGCCTGATATATCACTTCGTAAAGACAGCCATCTTTGCCGCCAAGAAATATGCGGCCGTCGACTGAACCCATGATTACATTCATCACAATATTATCGGTCGTCACTCTGAAGATAGGGTCGGGAACTAAGAGAAGCTCGCCTTCTGAGCCGTCTTCACAGGTGCTAAAAGTGATGCCAAGTAATAGTATCTCAACGGCTGTCGTCAGAATCAACAGGTATTTAATGTGTGGCTTAAAGACACCTAAAAAACAACAACTTATGAATACAAGAAATAAAATGATTTCCCTTTTGTGTCCATACCTTCACGGGGTTTAACTAATCCAACGCTAAGAATAGTTTCGCTTAAACCATCATAATATGCGACATCACTTCCGTTATCATAATTCCAGAGATATATATAGCAGTCGATGGCGACCCACGCCCTCCCGATCTCTGGCATTATTCCCATTTCGCAGTTCTGTTGTATGTCTTTGTGGTAAATACAGAGATAATCATTAACTCGTCCTTTAATTACAGACACAAAAACACTTACGAGAGAACTGTTCGAGTAATCCCTTCGGCAAAGGAATTGTCGTCAAAGCACTGAATTGTGGTAACGATAAGGACTGACCACTGGTTCCCAAATCACCGAAATTTGGATAATCGTTGTCTTGAAGACCAGAGACGGACGGAAATCCTATCCCTTCGGCAAAGGAATTGTCGTCAAAGCACTGAATTGTGGTAACGATAAGGACTGACCACTGGTTCCCAAATCACCGAAATTTGGATAATCGTTGTCTTGAAGACCAGAGACGGACGGAAATCCTGGCAAAAAACAAGACAACAAGTGGTTAACAAATGGACACTTGGATTGTATGCTTGGTTTGTGACCAACTTTGGGTCACTTTCAGCGTTTCCAGCATTTGTGGGAACATTGAGTCCGAGTTGAGGAACTGGTCCACACAATTGGCCACACTTTCGTAGACATGGGTCGCGTGAATGTCCGCCCGCGAGCTCACCATCGATGCCATTGGCTGTCCGCTCATAGGGTCCACACCCGGCACTACTATAGTCATTGTCACTCTAATTGATCCCAAGATATGCTCAAAACATGGCGACAACACTGAATGGTGTGAATGGTTTAGTAGACGACTATTTGCTGTCTAATTGTGTTCATACAAGTGATAAACAGTAAACTCTTTCAACAATTGATGCCTAAAAGCGCCAAAACATGGCATTGAATGGACCGGCAGTTCATTGAATGCATTGCCACTAAATGTGTGCCTCATTTTGATGCCAATAATTACGTCCAAACACTTGATTCCACTATATTTTTGTAGTTTTAATTTAATTGCAATTTATTTCAATTTAAATACAGTAATAATAATTATTATTATAGAATAATTAACTAGATATTCTCGTTTTCATACAATTTAATATATCATTTATACCGATATTCGTGTATAACAACTGTTACCAATTTGTTACATTCGTATCATACCGGTAATTTTAAAATCATCATGCTCATTTAACAATTTATATTACCGGTAGTAATATTACATGTAACATTTACATCGCGTTAATATAATTTGCAGTTATAATATAATTTATTCTTATTAAATTATTGTATTTAAATATTTGTAATGTTACCCATTTCCCATTTTTGAAAAATAAATTTTCGGAAAATAGTTTTGCGCCGAAAATTCTTTATATTCCTAAAAATTAGGAAAATAGAACAGAAATGTAGTCAAATGATGACCAATCGATGCATATAAATACTTTTATCATATTTATTTCTTATGCCCTAACATGCTTAAACATAGTAGAGAAGAAGATTTAAATCTATTTGAATTTAATTTAATTTGTGAGTTTAATAGTTTAATTGAGTGAATTTAATTTGAATCATTTTGTAA